TACTAGGAACCCAAGGAGATGGAGTGTGTGCCACAATTATCCAGAGGAGTTGATTATTCCTGAGGCTCTGAAATTCCATGAGCAAATAAATGTGTATTGTTTTAATTGGAAAAATTTGGGAAAAAATTACTATGTAAAAATAGGAAGTATAAGTATGATTGTTGATCAAAGCAAGTGTGAGTGAGTCTTTTAGTAGAAAGACATAATGAAAGTAATTAGCAACCATGTCTAGTTTGTAATAAATTCAGTTTTACTAACAAATGTAACTCATAATGATTATAATCCTGTATATATATAATAGGAACCTGAAAGAGGAATTATACCAAAGGAATATTACAAATCTGTAATGATCTACAACTTTCAGGGGAAGATATGAAGTTGGGTGGCAAAAAGATCATGTTAATCAGATAACTTCATTATAGCACCCTCAAGACAATGGACATTTGTTAAAAAGTTTAAGATTGTTGAAAATTTTTCTCTAAGGAGAACACAAGAAAAAAATATCCTAGAATGAACTACTGTATTTTATACAAATACATATATTTATAGATTTACATACATATTTCTGGTAGGTGAGTTTGCCTACACACATGTATGCCTCTCTGCACATACACAATATACAGAATCATATGTATTTATTAATTCTTTGAAATCCTGGCTCTAACAATACCAACACTGTTTAGATTTGTTTACACCAGGTTACACCATGCTCTTTTCTTTAGCATTAAACAGGTGACAAAGTATTAACAGATACATAGCTGATGTGGGGACTACACACACTTGGCTGTTCTGGAGCTAGTACTGACGGCCATTCCCTTGCCTGAAGCCTGAATTCCATCCAAAGTCACAGTTCAGTTTCTGAGAAGACAAGACAGATGCCAGTGTCTGGGAGGAGATCAGATGCATACAGACCATCATCTCTTTCCATGTTCTGGGAGGGTGACTTTGGGCATTGTTCTTTTGAAACCAAGATGAGAGAGCCAATCTTCTGAGTTAATTATCTGTTATTTCTTGCCTCCCAAGCATCATCCACCTATTAATGAACCACTCCCCCATCAAGAGTTAACATAGGCTCTTCAGGCTCAAAGTTTTGGTTGGGGCCTTACAAGGATAAATACAAAAACAAACCATATACTAAACACTTCTTTAAAAGATATGAATAGATCTTTGTTTATGAAGACTTTATCTGACAGTATCACCTAAGTGAATGTGATTAAAAACCTCCCATCAAAATGTTGAGGGGAGGAGTACAGAGGCCAAACTGTCTACTTGGAGGCAGGCGCTGTGAAAAACTTGCTTCTATACATCAGCTCATTTGCTCTGGATCAGGAACTCTCTGAAGTCCTAATACACTTTCCATTTTACAAATGTGGAAATGAAAGCCTAGAGATGTTAAAGAAACAATGGCCGAGGCCGTTTAGCTATTCTAGGAGGCATAAGCCTTTGAATCCCAGCTTCTCCAAGGTCAAAGCCCATGTGTACTCCTCTTTCCTTCCTACCACATGGCCTTCCTGTAATCAAATCCACCTACACCAAAACTTGACTCACATAAGAGCCTCTGCAGACCCATAGTCAAGGTCTGTACACAAGCAATTCAAATTAGCTGATTATCTATGGGCCTCTTCAAATATGAAACTCCTGGGGAAGAGCTGCGGCAAGCACTTGAGAAGGGTGAAAGATGAACGCTAAGCCTCTGTGCTGGGGGATATAGAGTGGTATTCCTGGAAAAATTGACTGTATTATTGAAAGAGTTGCTGGCCCAGACCGGACACTTTAACCAGGAAAAGCCGCAGCCCTATAGATTTGCCTGTAGCCCTATACCCCCATCCCTGTAACCCTGGCGCCAAAACGTGTGCCAATGAAATACCTGTGCATCCCTAATGCCCCTTGGGGTCCACCCCAGACAGAGGCTACTTATGGGCCTGACTCCACGTGTTAGAGAAGAAGAGAAAAGAAGAAGAAGAAGGAGGAGAAAGGGAGAGTGTGTTCCAGAGAAAGACCACCGGCCCCGGGTGCAGTGGAGATGCTGCGCCCTGGGGCCGGGGGCGGGGGGGTCTCTCCCCGCATTCCCGAAATAAAGGTTACTTATATTTTATATTTTTTACCTATGCAGCTACCGCTGCCCACTACTTTCATGGCCGTCCACTCTACTCCTTCCACGGACCTCTTTCCCCTCTTCCCATCTTCTCCCTTCTTCTCAGACCTAACAATTATGTATCACTATTGATGTTCCTAATGATTTCGTTCCGTGGGCTCTACACAAGGAGGCAGGGAAGTATGAAATACATATTAAAGTAAGACTTTCTGCAGGTACAGTAAAACCAAGTCTTTGTGCTCGAATGGGGTTAAGCACTAACAAAAACATAACTTACTGCAGGCACCCCATTCCTCCATCAGGTGGGGTGGAGGAGGCACTGGTGTTTTGTGAGATACCCTTAGTTTTACTCTTTGACCTTTCTAACCTCCAGAAGATGACTTCTTATTCTTAGAACGAAGTTGCTACTCTGCTATTTTAAAGTGGGTAAAGTATAGAGCTCTTCCTAAACCAAAATCTGTTTAAAATGTCTCTCTTGTCACATGTCAACAGACAACTTTAAAATAAGGAAGGGGAGGTGGCGCAGATCAAGAATGTGTGTAGGAGGGGTGTTTTTAGAGCCAACAACCTGGAATCTGAAGTTTGGCTCTGTGATTTTACACGTGCCCTTGATGAATTTAGCCTCCTTAACAAACAGTTGCTTCATCTGTAATGGTGAGACAATGATATTCACCAATGTACTTTGGAGAACTTATTTTAGCACCCTTTTCTTTTCCTTTTCTTCATGTATCAAGAGTACGATAAATGAGAACTGGACGGACTTCTAGCACACAGCCTTTGGGGTGTCTCTGAATGAGGAAAGGGGACTGGGTGAATAGACTTTCTTTTTTTCTCCTCCTTCCACAGTCGGATATCCAGGGAGCCCTAGAGTTTGGTGACTGCTTTTCATTTCTCTATACTCCTCGGCTTGTAGTCTCTCTGCTGTAATAGGAACTCAGCCCTAGACTGCTGTTCTAGGTTGTATGGGTCAGCTGGGTACTGGGAAGTAAGATAAACTGACATTTTTGTTGTTGTTGAGGTCAACTGTGCCCTTAGTTTCTTTATCAGTCAGCTTTTCCATTGCTGGAAAACAGTACCCAAGACTCATAGTGCAAAGAACGAAAGGTTTAACTTGGTTCATGTTTTAAGGGGACTTAGTCCATAGTTAGCTGATCCAGGGCAGAAGCATCATGATGGAAGGATGTGGTGGAGGAAAGTGGCATGGAAAGTTCATGGTGGCATGGAAAGAGCAGGTCAACAAAGCCCCAGAAAAAGGAGCCAGGGACCATAGACCCTAAAGCCATGGCTTCATGATCCACCCAGCTAAAACCAGAAGTGTGCTCTACCAGTTCTCTGGGTGGATTCCAAAGCCAATCAAGTTGACATCCACCTTAAGCACCACAGTATCGCTTCTTATGACAGGCTCTGACATTTAACTCTGTGTGAGGATGTATTGATAGACAGCTAAGCTTAGGTAAATGAGTTCCCTTGAGGACTGAGACTTATTTATTGACAGTTTTTCAAAGGTCATTGAATGTGGAACCCCAATTAATAATGAATGCTAGCTTTCCTTCCTTTGCTTTTCTTTGGGGGTCCTTTAAGAAGGCAGACATGAGCAACTCACCACCATCACAACACCATAAATAAGAGCCAAGTAACATCTACTTCCCAGATTGTACAGAGGATTAGATGATACAGTTTACAGAAAAATACACTTCGCATATGTGTCACTGTTAAGCATTACCTGGTAACCAGTGCAAAACTTGAAGTTCCTTCTCTTTCTTTATGTCCCATTAAGTGCACTTTTGCTTTATTAATCAAAGAGATGACAAAAAAACTGCACCATGAAAACCCCGCCAGGTGAAACTTCTGAAGTCTTTTGAAAGGTGGTATGATTTCTCAGTGCCCCATGATGGTTTCTCCATATTGTAAAACAGTAACTATTTACTGGTCATCTCTTGCGTTCAGTGTTGTGTGCCAGGTACCTAACATTAGGCGGTAATGTTTCTCTTATTTTATAATCAGAAAATTGAGGTTAAGAGAGACAAGGAAACCTTTGAAAGGTTAGAAGGCTTGATAATCCCAAGTCTGGATACTGAAACTCTCTAATCTGCAAAGTATTTGCACATGACAAAGGAAAGCAAGGACATGTCTATCTCTTTCTCCAAAAAATGTATAGGAAGAAAAATACACAGGGGTTTCACATGGTCTCAAGTGTCTGTTGGGATTCCCTTTGTCCCTTCTCCCCTACACTGACTCTGATGTAACAGGAGTTACTCAGAAGGTGGTGGGAATATACCACACTGCTCTGCAGGGCAAAACTACCCACTCCGGCAACTACAAAATCCATTCCTCTTCATGCTTTCAGGTCTTGCCTTCAGTTATTTACTGTCTGTCTCATCTTGCTATTATATAAGTTTTATATTAGGGAACCAGTCTACATATTTCACTCCTGTATCTCCAGGATCTGGAACACTGCCTGGCTACCAGTAAATGCTCAAATACGTTTGCAGAATGAATGGTCTGTATACACTGGAAAACAAAACATCGTGATTCATTTTTGCATTGTTGCTGAGAAATTTTAAGACATGAAAGGTGGACTTTTTCATTAGATATTAACTTTTCATAAATATTAGTACTATTAGCCAGCAAGTGAATTCAGGCAGCTAGTATATTTACGTTCAAATAATAATCTTCTCCCCATTTTTTTGTGTCCCTTGAAATTGTTCCTACGTACCCTCCCCACTAGTGATATCTGATATTAGCATTTAAATCACATGCAATGAAAATGGTGAGGCTTCATTTCTTGTTTCTAATTTTTGTAACCTCCAAGAGTGTTTCTTGGTTTTGCTGATTATTCTGCAACTTCCAGGTTCTCTCCAGATGTGAGGAAATTTGCTTACTTGGTTGAGATGCTTGTACTTACTTGATGAAGTACTTGATCCCATCTGCTGTGTAAGCTTCCTCCCACCCGTAAGGTAGGCCTAGAGTGAAAGAAAACCAAAAATACACTTAATAAGATGACGAAGATGACTGTATTTCCTGGACACAAACCTCCCCCTATTTGGACAATTATTTCAGTACATTTTTTTGCACAAAATAACTTTCCAGAAAGGGAGAATTAAGACAATTCAATGAGCTTTATGCTCAGCATCTTTACAACACAATAAATAAGTCTTGAACACTTAACAATCTGCTTCCGTTGCAATAACTGGATTATGACTTGTCATTTACATGTGGGGAACATTTTTGTCAGCAGGATTCAAGCAAAAAATTTGTGTTGCCGCGGATGGTTTTTGCCTGGAGGCAGAAGGATGGACAAGATGGCCTCTGCTTGTCTATTCCGGCTCAGAGTTTCTTTAATTGGCTCCCTTTACTTTCTTTCACTCAGCTCCACAGGGAATCGTGCATGCCTGACAGATCAGCAGGGGTCTGAAAGTAGCTTTTGGACAAGACAAAATTTCTTATTAAGTTGGAAAGTTTAGCAAAGTGATTTACAATGGATTGTGGCATTTTACTTCGTTAATTAAGAGTTTTGTGCACTAAACATAAAGGGCCAGTTTGCTAAACTTAGGTTCCAATTCTGTAATAGGATCGAGAATAATTAGCTAAAAAGAGATATGGAATGAAGTAAGCAAGCAATCTATGGCCATATTCTATAAATGAGTATATTTTTGCCCTGATTACACCAAGAGACGGTCCCTGGTTGAGGCAGCCATGGTCTCTTACATGCTAATTTTGGCTGGTCCCTATCTAAAACACACTCCTTTACTCCATCCCTAACTACTAACCTTCTGGATCGGTTTGACACTAGCCTATGATGGTTCCTTTGATGGCAACAGCATACATCAACAAACGAAAGAAAACACCCTCCTTAAAAAAAAGAAAAGAAAAGAAAAGAAAACACTCCATTGTTCAGGTTGCCTACCCTTTGGAAAATATCTGAGCTTTAATAACAAATCCTGGACTTCCATTCCCCCAAGTAAAATCAAGGAGTAGAGAAAAAGCATGGAAACAGTTTAACTTCCCAAATGATGTAACACTTTATTCTATGGCCATTCAGCTCTTTTAAAAGACTATTCTGAAAATCAGCTTTTAGGAGCCTTTGTAACTAAGAAAAACAAGCAAATAACAATAAAAAAGCTTTATGTTGATTTTCAGTCTTTTAATACAAGTTGCATAAAAAGAGACCAACTGCAAAAATTTCTACATTCTCCCTGTTGGAGTTTTTTTGGCACAATAAAGGAACAGAACATAAGAAAAAGTAAAAGTGTCCTTTATTCCAAGGACGTAGACAGGAGTCTACAACCAACAACAGTCTGGCTTTCTCCTCTGCCTGGATTTGGGTGGGCCTATGGGGCATATATAACCTTAGAACGGATGTGGTGCTTAGGGCGGGCATTGATGATGCTCAAGATGCTGATTGGAATTTTCTTCCCATGCACTGGGAAAGGAAAAAGGAAGTTGTAATAGGGGAAGGAGGAAGTGACCTCAGGGTAAACATTCCTGATTTTGCCTTCCACCACCATAATGTCCTGTAATTTATTCTAGGGCAAAACCCTTTCACTTTCCTATTGAAAAAATGCTCCTATTCTAAGTAGAAAATAAGCACTTCGGAGAACTCTGCATAACCAAATGATTGGCTTCTGACCAGCCCCTGAAGTGACACTGTAGACCTGTCCTCTGGAGCCCACAGCCAGCACTTAAGTCAACCAGGACAGACACTGCCACACTGGTTCAACTGGACTTACTTCCTTTTTCATACTTCCTGCATTTTTTTATAGATTACTTCATTCATTATTGACAAGTCCTCTATTGGTGGGGAAGAATCGATGACAGTGCATAAGAACTTTGCTTTATCACAAAATATGCTCAGAAACGCTAAGATTTCTGATTTTAAAAAGGCAAAGGTGGCTAGAGGTTATGTAGAAAGTTGTCTTGTGTGGAAAGGTTTTTGCTTGCTGAATGACTTGTTTGATCAGCAGAACTATATCTGTTCTAATTTCTGAAATCAGAAATTCTACTGAAAAGGAAAAATGTATACTTTACAGATCATGTTTTTTTTTGTTTTTTTGTTTTTTTTTTTTTTTTTTTTGTACCAGGAATTGAACTCATGACCTTGCACTTGCCAGGCAGGTGCTTATGCTGCTGAGCTAAATCCCCAGCCCTACATCATGTTTTTAATCCATAAGATCACTTAAAAATTGATATTGATATTGGAATCTGATGTATCCTGGGACACTGAATAAAATTCTTACTTTATTTCCTTACCACTAGTAAGTATGAATGCTGATGTCATAACAAATGTATTAAGATATATGCAACTGAATCACAATGATTATTCAATAACTGTTGTCATAAAATATCCCTATGCATTAAGCAATATGTAGGGATTATTTTAGCATAAATATCCCGTTCTGAGAAAATAAGTGTTTCCTTTTAGAAGACTAGCTAGTTTCTTACTTTTCATACAGTTAATGTAATGTGTGAGACCAGATCTGGAGACTAAATGAATAATGATTAATCTCTCTGCTCAGTAATAGAAAACACAATCACTATCCAATTACAAACTGAAAAACACAAGTGGCTTTATACAAAAAAGAGCATTTTGGACCTCCACAAGCTCATACGACTATGATGGACAGCTTTTACACTACGAAACTTTCATTTCTTCATAGTAAATGCCTTGAATATAATTATAACATAGATACTCTGAAATAATCATTAGTGTTCAAAATATGGAAATGTTTCTCCGTTCACAAAACCTTTACACTTGCGACTATGTAATGTTTCCATTTTTCCCTTTTTGTGTTTGTTTTAAAACTGTTATGACAACTATAACCACCTGAAATTGGTCCTGATTGGAAATGTTTGTATGTGGATCCTCACATAACATTCTTTCCACCAGAGATCATCTGTTTGCAATCAAGAACTTCATGGTGATGACTCCAAAATTTGCATGAGTATCTTGCCAAAGTCAAAGTCTTGAACATATTGAACTTAAAAAACACTGGCTGTCACCTAGAACTCCACATATCCAAAATCAAACTCATCATGTTTCCATACAAAATGTTTTCCTTTCCAGTGTCTCAGTCTATTTATGTATCAAACACCCTCTCTGTCATATTTTACCCCATGATGCATTCACTAAACATTAACTAATTATTTGCTATGTGATCAGTGTTTTTGCTTTGTGCTTGATATACAACAACATACAGAAGGACATAGATTTTAATCCTGTAGAGCTTTAAACATAATCAGAAGTAAAGACATTAAATATAAGTACTATGAAGAAAGCATATGGCACACTATGAAAGAGCAACTCGTGGCACAGACAAAGGCTAAGCTCTCTAACACATAAATAACTCCTACAAATAAGAAAAAGATCAATGAGAAATACAGTAAGTCACAAAATAGACAACACATAGAGCATTTCAGACATGAAAGACACAACTGACCTAGACATATGAAAACAAGTTTAACTTCACTCTTAGTAAGTGACACACAACTTGGAGATACTATGCTCACCTATCAGAATAGCAAAGACTAAGAAGCAGTTTTGACAGCAGTGTATTGAAGGTGTGAAGCGACAGTCACTTATACTGATGAAAGTATAAAATTATAATGTTTATGAGGAAAAATTTGTCAACTTCTCTAAAATTTTAAATGTTAATAATCCTAAGAGCTGGTGTTTATTGAATAGCTAAGTGTTAGCCACTGTTCTAAGAATCCCACATGTACCAATTACACTTAATATAATCCTCACAATGAATCCATAAGAGGTCTTGTTATTATTCCTACTTCAGAAATGATGGATTGGAGGCAGAGAAAGACTGTAAAACTGCCAAAAGTTATACAGCCGGCTGGTGGCAAAAGCCAGGTTCTTAACCAGTGGGATGAACTGTCTCAGGTTCAGCAGTTCTTCTTGCAATTTATCTCATCAATATGTTCAGAAATAATCTAAAAGACCATCAGTAGAGGCTGCTGAAACATAGTATACCCAGAAAATGGGATATTGGCCAGCTATGAAGGAGAATCAGAAAGTAATATATGAAGCACCAATTCAGATGGGGGTACAGAGGTGAGGAAGGAGGGGCTGGTCCATCCAGGCATAGACATGGTAAAGAACTTTCCAGGCCAAGTGAGCAGCATCTGTAGGGGCTCTGCCATGGGACGTGACCGGCACAGTTGAGGATCAGAGGGAGAGAGTATGCCTGCTCCTGGAGCACCATAGCAAGGAAGGGAGAGAAGGTGATAAAAGATGTAGCTGGATGCTGCATGGCTCTGCAGCCTAGTTCAAAACTGCTTGGAAAATCCTTAACAAGTGAAGCAGGAGATCTGCCCCTGTTTAGGGTGAAGAAAGCTGTGAAAGAATATAGGTTCGGTCGTATGTGGGAAAAATCATATACAGCAATCTAAAATAATGTTTTTATCTCCGCAACCCAGAAAGACAGAGTTCTTCACCTGACTGAATTTCAGAGTGCAATAAGTCTCTCTTAGGAGGGGCAAAACACACAGACTCTCCCTCGGCAGCTTGGCAGATCACAGGAAGATGAAGTATTGCCATAAAAGTGGATCAGAAGGGGGCTGGGGATTTAGCTCAGTGGCATAAGCGTCTGCCTTCCAAGCAGGCAGTCATGAGTTCGATCCCCGGTACCGATAAAAAGGAAAAAGAAAAAAAAAAAAGTGGATCAGAAGAAAACAGCTAATACTGTAACCCATTTTGAAGTCTGCTTATGGCACAGCATCATAGTGTGGTGTCTCTGGGAGGCCTAAACACGGGGCCTAAACACACCTGTTCTGACTAGCTCTTGGCTCCCAAGGAAGACTAGCGAGGACAGGAGACCTGAGAGAAATTGCAGGACGTGCGTGCTCACCTTGAGCCTGCAAAGACTCCAGGTACAGCAACAGCAGGTGGACAAATCCATCTATGTCCTGGGGCCTGCATGGGCACACTGGGGATGAGAAGAAAGCATATGGGCAC